AACTCTTCATTTGGAAGATTTTTAAACAGGTTAGAAAATTGTTTCCAACACACTTGCATCGTTTTCGGCAACAAAATCTCATAACGATGGAAACATTTCCAAACATCCGTTTTCAAAATGCTTTCTCCATAGCACAAGTTTCTTTCGAAAAGCAGTTACCTTCTCACTCATTGTTAAAACGTCACCTTTACCTTGAAGGGACAGATTAAGTGTGTTTATTTTTTCAAAAATATCTGCTAGGTAGCATACTACTGACAGCTACTTGTCATCACAGAAAAGGTCAGCAAATTTTGAACACTTGTCTTTTTGTAAAAGAAAAATGTGTAACTCATCTTTAAGTTCAACAACTCTTTTAAGCACTTTGCCACGAGATAACCAGCGAACCTCTCTGTGGTACAAAAGATTTTCATGGTCACTCTCCATCTCATTACAAAGTATTGTAAAGATTCTACTATTTAATGGTTTTGTTTTTATAAAATTAACCACATCAATGACATCCTGTAGCATTTTGTGCACTTCTGGCTCCAAGTTCTTTGCTGCAATAGCTTGCCTATGAATGTTGCAGTGAGTGAATTTCACATGTGGTGCTATCTCTCTAACCGTACCCCGGAATCCTTTTTTTATTCCAGTCAAAGCAGCTGCTTCATCAGTGGTTACACTTGCACAGTTTTTCCATGAAACATTGTTTTTATTAAAGAAGTCATTTACTGTTGAGAATATATCTTCTCAGTACATCTTTCCTTCAGTGGATCACAAAAAAGTAGTTCTTCATGTATTTCATTATTGATGCAGAATCTAGCAAATACCATAAGCTGAGACATGTTATAAATATCTGTACTTTCATCCAACTGTATAGCAAACCTCCACACTGCGTAATTTGTTCTAATACTTGTTCCTTCAAATCTTCAGCAGTGTTTTCTGTGCATCTTCCAACAGTATTTGCTGACAAAAGAATGTATTTTAGTTTGTTGCCATATTGTTTTCCGTGTGTTATTTCAGCCATTTTTACCGCGGCAGGAAGAACAAGTGTTTCCCCAATGGTATGTGGCTTTTTGTTTCTCGCTATTAAGTAAGAAACCTCAAAAGAGGCTTCTAAACATTTGTCATTAAGTTTAGTGAAATTTTGTAAAGTACTAGATTGAGTATCACATGAAAATATTGCTGAAAAAATTGTAGAGGTTTCTCTTCATGTTCTGGATGCTTAGTTTTTAAATGTTTTGCTAATCGTGATGGCTTCATACTATCATTAGCTAATATCTCAAGGCACAATATACGCTTAGGGTAAGGTTCATCATTAACAATAGTGGATGTAAATCCATATTTCAAATAGTCTTCTTGATAATTTCGAATTTTTTTGGCCGACTTCTTGTCAGGTCTGATTAGCTCGTCATTGTTTTTACCTCGTAATGTGGCTGATGAAGAGCTTGTACTAGGAGTAGGAGAAGTGTCGGCTCTGCCATTTTCTTGTTGTTCCCTTGTGCTTGCATTATTAGTATTATCTTCAATCTGCTATTTCTTTTCAGGAATCTTTTTAAGCCACTTGTCCATTTTGTGAGGGTTAGTTTAGTTAAAACTAGGTAATATAATCCGTAAATCCACTTAACCGGGCATACGTAAACTGCAATACATTGCAATACGCAGAAAGTGAATGAACAAGTGAGGGCACCACTGTCAACCCCTCTGCGTTGTGGAACTCCCACCCTTCCCTCGGGATACCTCGCGTACCGTATGTGACACGTAACCGTCTGACATACGGACTGAGTGAGGGTGCCAGTGTCAATCCGTATGTTAAATATTAGTAAAGCTTAATTTCTTTCTTATTTCTTTTAGATAAAAAATAAATATAAATAGAAGTTCTAATATTTTCTTCCCACACCCCAATGGATTGTCTTGTGCACACCCCACTTTGGAGACCACTACTCTAGAGCACAGCGCCTTAGGGAACCTGTGTACAGGTACCCTGTGAGGGTTAATTTAGGGTGATTCTGCCTATATCCCATGTGCATTTGTGGGGCTGTCACACAGGAGACAGTCTGCTTCCTGTGGAGTGTGGGAAGGAGGGAGGGGGGTGTTGGGGAAGGTACCCCTGCTGGAATCTTGGAGAGGAGCCAGTCTGGGCCTGGAAAGCAGGGGTTTGGGGGAGCTCCCCCCCCAGCTCTTGGCATGAGCATCTTGCTAACAGCCCTGGCTGCCATGCTAGGAGCTGGAGCAGTGCTTGGGGAGAATCCAAGCTCCCTCCCCCACTAGCGTGGTTATGCTTGAGGACAGTCCAGAGGAGAGCCATGTTAATGATTAGAGAACAAGAGGGCAGGCCTTATGAGGAGAGGCTGAGAGACCTGGCACTCTTCAGCCTGGAGAAGCATAGGCTCAGGGGTGACTTGGTGGCAGCCGACAGGTATAGGTGTGCATCAGGAAGTGGGAGAATGTCTGTTCACCAGAGCACCCATACAAGGAGAGATGACTAACATTAGCAATATATTAAAATAAAGGTGCAGAATAGAGGCTGGATGGGCAATAGATTCTGACTTATTCTGGCCCATGTGCCTCTCCTTTATTGTGAAGTGGAGCTAATTGTGCTTACTTGGTCAGTAAAGTGTCTTCATTTCCTGAAAACACCATCCACATGCTAGATATCTGAACTCTAGCACAGTGCAAAATCCTTATCAAGGATATCTAATGAATAGTTAGCTTACTTGTGCCAGCTAAAATTTAATCATGCTAAAATGAATTGTAGTAGATGATTCAGGGAACTGGTGGTTCAGGTTGTGTTCCAGCTGTTGGTGCCCTGGAGACATCATGCCTTGCACATGCTGCTTGTTTTTAAGGGAACATAAGTTTGGTTTCACTACCACACGTCACCCTTCTGAAATGGCAAGTAGGCTCTTGTCACAGATACCCCTCTGCTTTGCCCGAACATGTTGAATTAAGACAGAAATTATTGGTAGCTGCCTTGGGTCAGGTACGTGTGCCTGATCCAAACCTAGCTTAAAGCACTTACCATCATGGCTTTATTGAGGGGAGCCTCTTGTTCATTTCTTCAGAGCCTCCCTCTTTTATAGCTGTTGTTGTTGCAATGCTTCTCTGCTTGAGTGGGTGGAGCAGCCTGGTCCAGTGCTGCTCTGTGATGATTAGGCTGACAGGAAGCATATGTGTAATAAGTGATCTAGTCAGACATCTAAACTGTTGGCTGTTGTGTTTAAAATGTGATTACCAGGGCCCAGAGCATTCTTCAGCCAGGCCTGAGAGATTTCTGCAGATGAGCAATGATGATCCTGATGCTTATCCAGTAAGTAGACTTGTCAGCAGTAATGACTTTCCTTTGGCTTTCAGCTTTTCAGAGGTTTATTTTAAGCAGGGTTTTTGTTGACTTTATCACATGAAATATTTATTTATTGCCACCAAATAGCACTTAACTGTCTGTTCTGGGAGGAAATAATAAAGTTGGCTGAGGGAGAATGTTCTTATAGGACAACTAGTTGAAATATTGAGCTTTAGAATGGTATTCTACAGCTAACGATGAGATGCAATAGGTAGATCCTTTGGGAAAAAATGGGCAGGGAGAGTGAGGAGGAGTTAAGAATTACACACATGCAACTGCATTAAAAATACTTGTAATGTTGTAAAGTCAGGCACTTAAGATGGGGAGTGCCAGAAGCAAACTTGCCAGTGCTTTGTAACATGCTTTTCCACCCCTAGTCCTTTTTCACTGGGGAATTCACTCCTGTGGCTCTACCCACTTGCAAGACCTACTTCCCTTAAGCATTTATAACCATCACACCATTAAATCCTGAACGCCAGTTGCAGCTTCCTTGCCTAGTCCCAGGGCCAGATTCTGTTCCACCTATTAGGCATGTAAGTGGACTTATGCATCTAAGTGCAATTTTATTCTGTCCTCCTATTATGGTGCTGTGTCAAAGTATCAGGGAGCAGCAATTGTAGAGAAAGTTCAGTTTTGTTCCTATAGCCACTGGCTGGAACACGATCAGTTGTTCTGTGGGGAAAGCATATGAACAGCATAGTGAGCAGTGAGAAGTTCAAATGTGTTTGCTAGGGAAGTAATCCTCAGAGTTTTTTGTTATTAAAGTCCTAAGAAGCTTCTACTGAATACAAATAAAAAGAGCCAAAGCCTGCTGAAATCAGTAGTTAGGGGATGCTTTTCATTGACTTCCATGGGCTCTTCTTGAGTGGTGGGGGAAAAAGTATTGAACAGGTTTTTTGTTATGCATTTGTTAAAGCAGAGTTTCTAGCTTCTAGTGCTCCAAAACTGCTGTATTTCCCAGGTTTCAATGTTATGGATTTTGGTGTGCAAGGAAGGAAGTAGAAAAGAGGATGGAATGAAAAGGGAGGGAGACTTTTGATGCCTTTTTAATGCTCTTTTTAGGAGTTTAGTGAACACTTTGAAGTTTCCCAGCTCTACGAGTGCAACTGGATTGTGGTGAACTGTTCAACTCCAGCCAATTATTTTCATGTCCTCAGAAGACAGATCTCACTGCCATTCAGAAAACCAGTAAGTGATCAGTTACCCTGCCTTCAAATTACAGTGAGCCACTTGAATTCAGGGTTTGTTTTTTTGTTGACATACTACTCGGTAGAAGATGGACTTCAGTAAGAAACTTGAATGCATGTAAACTGGAGACTGACTTTTTGGGGCAAGGTTTGGTCTTCTGTTCAGCTTTCCTTTCAGGTGTGCAAACTCCTGGCATGCTTTTTAATCACTGATTCCAGGGATTCCATTGCTCACATGGGTTGTGTGTATAAATTCTACTACCTCTGGACACAGATGCTGGAGCTTGGAAAGCACATGTGTCTGCACAGAAAGTGCCATCTTCTGCTGACCTGGCTTTCATTTGTATCTGATCTGCACAGACATGTTTTTGCTCCAGTGCAGACACCTGGGGTAGATGTTGTTTCCTTGCATCTCGTGATATGCACTGGTATGGTTCAGTCTACACTTCAGCTAGAACAGCTGTGTAACATACATTAGTGGTTCTTCTGCATTAGGGATTTCCATTTGTGTAGCTGTAACACTGTTGGGTGAAGTTCAACCTGGGTGCCCATAGAATTGAGATTTGGTACACTTACAATTAATTTGAAAAAAGATTTGTCCAAAGCACTTGTTCAGTTTGAGATTTCTACTCTCTTAGTCTAGAACAAGGTCAAGCTAGCACAGCACTGTCACTGCCTTGCTTTTCTACCCTGGAGAGCCTGGTAGTTGGAATTGAGATCCATTCTATGCCTCCTTGGATTACTCCAGTGGCTAGCGTGACTCACTTTGGTCAGTTCTGTCCCACTAGCACTTTAATGTTAAAATAGTTTTAACTTAATTGATCTTTCTGGATTAATTTAGATTCTCTGCAGTTTGAAGACTAAGACACACTCTGATACTTAGCATTAAAATATATGATGGCTCTCAACCCTAATCCACACACTTTAATGCACTATCTTTTGTCCCCCAAAGGAAATATTTATCCATGCTAAGATTTCCAAAGAGTCGTGGAACTGCAGCTTTAGTGTCTTTTGTGACTTTTTGAAAACCCCAGAGTTAAAGAATCCTAATGTGGAATAAAGGACTTTCATAGAATATAGTTTCCTTTTTTATTTGCTTAGCTTAGTCCTATGCACTAGGTTAACTTAGTATCTGTTCTAGGGTGTCACATGCAAGAACTATTTTTGTAGTGTTAATATTGCATGTGTGTGGAAGGTGATGAAGCTAGTAGCAGCCTCTGAGATTTGTAACAATTTGTTTTTACAGCTGATCATTTTGACACCCAAGTCACTGCTGAGGCATCCTGAAGCCAAATCCAGTTTTGATGAAATGGTATCTGGTAGGTCCAGTTACAAAATTTGTGAACACATTCATTTATGAGCAGTTAATCCTTAATACAGGACCCAGGGTGTTCATTCCACAGATAATGAACTTCCTAGGAGATCAAAACCCATTACTTCTATGGCAACTACAAAGTGCGCATGGGAAAGAAATCTCTCGGGATTTTGGAAGAGCCTGGATCCAAATAATGAATCTTCTCTTTAGTTTCAGTAACACCTCATAATTGCCTGTATAAAGTCCTCATAAGGTACCTTTGTTCTAAACAATCCCCCACTTTATTTTTCTTTCAAGGAGTGACTTGTCACTTGCTTCCACTTTCAGTTCTGGACACCTCCTGTCCTGTTGCAAATTTAAGTAAGGTACTAACCAGGGGAAGTGGAGAATTAAACATCTGACAGCCTGAAGCTTTGCTGGAAAGCACAGCGAGGCAATAGCAGCTGACGGCTATGTAGGATGCAAGCACTCAACTCTCTTACTATAGGATTTTACTGAGCACGTCTACACATGCCGAATTAAGGTGCTTTAACCCAACTTAAGACACATTAAAGGCATATGACTACGTGTGCATGCCCTTAATGCACCGTAAAATGGCAATTTTAGGCTACTTGTGCCTAAATTTTATACCTGCAAAAGCAAGTATCAAATTTAGGTGCAAATAGCTAAAGTACATTTACACATGTGTGGATGCGTTAAAGCGCATTAACGCTGTGTATGGACTGATGCGGGACTAACTTTCCATGTCAGTCCACATACACAGTGTTAATACACTTTAATGTGCACATCGGTTAGACGCAAGCAGAAGTTGCCTTAATGCATGTTAAATGTGGGTGTGCCTAAATGTGTAGATATGCCCACTCTGTATTAAATTTTCCCTGTGGTAAGGAATGGATGCATGACCAGCTTTTCCAAGCTAGCTGCGTGCAGTAGGTTTGTTACAGTGCCTGGCCTCTGGGTAGAGGAGGAGCTGGTTTACATTGAGTAAAGGGCTAGCTTAAGATGAAACCAACTGACTAGGGGAGCAGACACTTGACCATGATACCAATGTACCTTTAAACAAGTTAACTTAAATGGATTTACAGTTACCTCTCAGAAGGGAAGGAATAACTTGACCATAAGTGGGCCAAACCTGAGCCAGGGTAATGTGGTGTAATTACTCTTCTGCAGTAATTCTGTTTCTAGAGTAAGAG